TTTATAATAAATTAATTAAATAAATAAACAATAATTTTCTCTTACTTTTATTAAAATGTCTTATAAATCTAATACTTAAAGTGTTTTAAAAACTTCTTATACTCATCTTTCTCAAATTTAAAAATTTATATCATACTATAGTCAGAGTTGTAAAGAAAAATCAGTAGATTTAAAATCTAAAGCAGCTTATACTAAATATACAATTATACCTTAACAACAAGAAACTACTGCTAGTTTTTCTAAAATATTAGAAATACCATTTATTAATTTAATACCTTCAGATCTAAAATTCAATATAAATTATAATAAAGAATTACAAGTAAGGATCTCATTTTTAGTAAAAGAATACTAATTAATTTTCAAAGAAACAAAAATTCTAAAATTTCATTTTTAAAAGTAATAAATGAAATATTCTCTGATAATAGTGATAATAATGTATTTAAAAAAGATAATAAAAGTAATATTAAAAATAATACTTTAAAATATTTATCAGATGATTTAGAGGAAGCTAATCAAGTAGATTTTGATATTCTAAAAGTAGATTTAAAAGAAAATAATTTTAGATATGCTGAAGGATTAAACAATATCTTTTTATAAATCATTATATGAATCTTGAAGTGAAATTTCAGTTATCAAATATAGTTATAAATTCTTTCTTTAAATTTTTTTATTATGTTTTTATAATTGTAAATAAACTATAGTTTTAATTTTTCTTTCATCTCTCTATATGACATATAAAAATCTTGGTATTTGTTTTCATTTGATAAAATATATAATTTATAAAAAATATTACAAATTGTATACAATTGCTGATATATCTAGTAGTAGTCTAAATCTTATACCTAAATAATAAATTATGTGTTTCAAAATTTTTCTAACCACCTAATAAGTTATAAAAGAAATACTTGTAAAACTTTATTATATAAATAAGTTTATACAAAAAATATAATAATTAAAAAGCCAATCTTAATATAGTCAAATCTTTATATAATTACCTATTTAATTCTCTAAAAATTGGTGATTATATAAAGTGTGATTGTTATTGAGGTATAAATTTTTTAATTATCTTAATTTTGACTAGAATTATAATTTATAAATTATATAATTAAATATTATTTTCTTATTTTACGATAGTTATTCCACAAAAATTCAAATTTTACAATTTCTTTTTTAAAGTACGTATAATATAAATTTTCTATAAAAAAATTTATGCAATATTTATATAGTAATTCTAGTTAAAATTATTTTTGACTAAAATTATAGTGATTATGAAGAGGTAATTTTAATAATAAAAATAATATATAGGTTAAAAATTTTGTGTAATAGGAATTATAATTGATTTATAATTATATAAAGGTAATTTATTATTATTTAAATCTGTTTCATAAAATCAGATGATTATAAAAAAGTGTACTTATATAGAGTGTACCTATATAGAAGTCTGATTGTATTTTCTATAGTTAGCTTAAAACATCAGCTAAATCTTCTATTCAAATAAAAAAATTTCAAAGAATCATATTAAAAATAGGTTAATTGCCCTTCTGACTCAAAAATTCTTGCTAATATTTATGATGGAAGAGTATAAAAATCATTTAATGATGAAAATGAATTAAATTTCTTTAAACCAAATACAACTGATACTCATTTTAGAATAATGCTTAATATGAATTAGTTTTGATCCTTTAAAAATTTTTAATATAGAACTAGAGTAATTTATGCTATTATTTATAATTTATCCTGAAATGAAAGATTTAAACCTTCTAATATTATAATATTAGCATTAATTCTAAGTCTAATAGAACTATTATTATACTATTTAAATCACTATCTGACTCCTCTAGTTAATTATAACATAGTATAGAATTATCAAAAACCTTTGAGCATCCTAATATAACAATAATTAGAAGCATAATTATATATTGCTTTTGTGATATATTTGTTACAAGAAAGCTTTATAGATATATATCTGCAAGAATTATATGTCATTAATTTCTCAAATATACTAATTTTGATAATAGAAACTAACTGAATTTTGAAAGATTGTCTAATATGAATAGCTGGTTTGTAAAAAAGAAATATTGAGAAAATTAAAGATAATGCTTTTGTATAAAAAAAATTGTAAAACAGAAGAATAACGTTAAAACTATAATACAAAATCTCTATAATAGAAATTTTACTTTAGTAAAAATTGAATAAATTTAAAATGCAAAAAAAAAATTAATAATTTAGATGGTAAATTATTTTTATTAATGATTTTTTTATATTTATTATAATCTATATAAAAAATATTAATATTCTTTATAATATTATAGAAAGTAAGACATTAATTAATAATTATATTTTTTATTACAATTTAAAGTCAACTAAATTTTTTATTTAAAAAAATAAATTAATAATATAATAGATTGTAAGTTATTTTTATTGATTATCAGTATTTAATTACACTTGTTACTGTAATTTAAAGTCAACTAAATTTTTTATAATAATTTAAATGGTAAGTTATTTTTATTGATTATCAGTAATATAAAGTTTTGTTTTATCTAACTTTAAAAAAAATTGGTTGTTTTATAAAAATATTTGTTATACATACTCCTTTTTTTTATTTATATATCCTTTTTTTTTACACACGCTCTCTCTTTTTTTTTTAATTATTTTTTTTTTTTTTTTTTGTAAAAAGTTTTCACATTTTTATATAAATTTTTAATAAATTTATAAATATAGATTCAAGTTCTGTTAAAAATAATCAAAATAATTCAAATAAATTCAAAAAAAAAGAGGAGGATCATAAAAAAGAAGTTGGATATGAAATTGGTTTCTATCTAATAATAGAATTGTTACATATTAAGTAGAAGTTATCACAAGTGAAATATGTGGTAAAAAATATTAGCATAGAAGTTTATTTAATAGGCATTTTAATAGACCATTTAAGTAGTAAGCATCAAATAACTAAAAAAACAATTAAGTAAAATTATGTGGTAAGAAATAAATTAAATAAATAGTAATTTATTTATTTAAATTTAATAATTTAGTATTTATTAATTATTTAATATATTTTTAGCCTCAAGAATCTTATAAGTTAGGAATTATATTACATAAGGAGTTTCGTTAAATTGAATTTTGTAATTTATTAATCAGTTGAATAATTTTTAATACTTAACTTTTAAATATTACACAATTAGAATCTTTTCAAAAATTTATAAAAGAACTTGATCTAACATTTAAAATTTCAAATGTTAAATTAATTAAGCAAACCATCTATAGTGCTTATAATCATACACTTCCCTTAATTCAAAAATTTATTGAAGATAATGCAATTTCAGTTAGTCTAACTACTGATATGTATGTGAACTGGTAGAAATAGATTGGGATTTTTGGGTATTACTTGTTCTTTCTTAGATAAAAATTTTACTATTCATGAAATTATTCTTATAATTGAACATATTAGATATTCTTATAATGCACAAAATATATCTGATACATTATTTGTTATTTTAGATGAGTAGGATTTAAGAAATATAACAAATGTAATAGTAACTGATAATGGGGTAAATATAAAAAAAGCAATAAAAAAAATGAATGAAATTGCTTCAAATATAAAGTGGTAATCATGTATTGCATATACATTACAGTTAGTAGTAGAAAAAGGGTTAATTTTTATTAAACTATTAGTTTAAGAGCAAAAAAATTGATTGATTTTTTTTTTAAGACCAAAACAAAGTTAAATATTAAATGAAATTCAAAAAACATCACAAAATAAAGTTGATGTGATAAGATTTAAATTTTATAATATATGTTTATTAATTATTCAAATTATTTTTATTTTTATATATTAATTTTTATAATATTTAAAATGCTGGTAAAACTAGTGAATATTTTTTTCAAGTAATTGCAGATATTTCAACTAGATAGAATTCAAGTTATTATGCTTAAAATAGGTTAATTAAAATTAAAGGTTATATTCAAATGCTAATTGTAGAGTTAGTAAATAATGAAAATACTGATACAAAAAAAGATGGAAAAATTATGTTAAGTTCTGATGAATGGAAACTTTTACAAGAATTAGTTATAACACTTGGTTTATTTGAAGAAGCAACTGGTTATCTTGGTAGAGAAAAATATATTGCACATAGTATTATGAATCCAATAATTGAACAAATTAAACATTTATTACTTTTACTATTATCTAATTCACCTAATTCATCTATACTTACATCATCTACATCATTTACATTACTTACATCACCTGTAACAGCTTTTAATATACTAGAAATATATCAAGAAATTGAAAATGCTGCTAATGTATTTATTATGATAGAAGAAGTAAAAACATTAAAAAATAATGTTATTGAAAATAATAATAATCAAACAAAAAATAACAAATTTAATTTAGATAAACCATTAAAAATTAAAAAAATTTAAAATTAAAATGTCACAAAATGTTTTAATTAATATTAATAAACTTATTTATGAAAAATGACAACAATTTTTTCTTGTTTTATTTAATGCAGATCTATCTTTTCTCAATGTAATAAATTCTGAAAAGCTTTTCTCATTTTCAGTTTCAGATACACGAAATGCTGTGAATAGTATTATTAATGACAGGTATATTTTATTTAATTATAAAAACTTTAGAGGTAAGCTATTAAAATCACATTATGGATTATATTATTTACTATGTTTCGTAACTCGATTTTAATAGAAAATCTCTCATTTTTAAAATTACTTAATATGCAACTTGAAATTAAATAAATATTTATTATTTAATATATTAGTTTCCAAAAGGATCTGTAATAAATCCAATTAAAATTCAGGAATAAAGAATACAAGTAAACTAAAAAAGAATTTCAATGACATAAATTCTTAAAATTTGATAAAAAATAATACTTAAACTTTAGAGAAAGTATATTTATAAAACTGGTTTTTTCAATTTATTGAAAATTAATTTTTATTATTATTGCAGAGTAATCTTTGAAATTGTGCAGCTTCTAGATTTTCTCATAATGAATCAATATCCTGTTAATAAAAAGGAAAAATTAGAAAAATTATTAAGAATGCAAGTATTTAAAATTTATATTAGCAAAAATAAATAAAATTAATTTTTATCATTATAATATATAGTTTAAAGAAGCAAATACAACATTTCTAATCTCTGAAGCAAATTTTATTTTACATGAATAGCTTGCCTCATATTGCAATAGTACAGGTATATTTTATCAAATTTTATAGTATTTTATTCTTTTTTTAAAAAAGAAAACTTTTTTAACTTTAAAAATTGTATAATTGACTAAGCGAAAAAAAAGGAAATTTCTAAAGTAAAAAAATATGGTCTTCCGTTATCACTACTAAAAAAGAAAAATATTAAACCTCCTAAAAAGCAAAACATAAATAATTCTATTGAAGTCTTACAAGATACTAGAAGCACTTCAAGTATTATTTTTTACACTACATATAATCTTTATTAGTAATTAATAATATTAATACTATTTTTATTTTATAAAGCAATAATTTCATTTTTATCAGCCTCAAATGCAGTGGATTTACTCTTTTCTATTTCAGCTTCAATAGTATTATCTTTATCCATTTCAGATACAATAAATTTATCCTTGTTTGCTTTAGTTGTGCTAGTATTACAATTCACTCCAGATGTAGTAGATTTGTTCTCATCTGTTTCAGATACAATAATTTCACATTTACTTACTTCAAATGCAAAAATATCTGCTAGTGCTTTCCAAAGTAAAAAGTAAATGATATTCTTAAATAAATATAATTATTTTACTTATATATTTTTATATTTCTAATTTTATAATTTTGTAGATAATGATAAAAAAGATAAAAAAAAAAAAGAAAATCAAAAGATCCTCTACAAAAACTAATAAAAGTTCCATAAGCAATAAGAACTGACAAGAAACTTGAATAATAAAATTATAGAAATTTTTATAATTATAATTAAATATTTATCATTTTTATATAATAAATTATTCAATAATTTTCTAGAGTCCTATACAAAATTTATCCATTTTTATTTAACAATGATATCAGTATTTATATGGAATTTATTAAATAATTTTCCAGTGTTTTATACACAATTTATTTATTTTATAATAATTTTATTCAGTAATTTATATGGAATTTATCAATTTTTATTTAATAAATTTATTTAATGATTTTTCAGTATTCTATATAGAATTTATCAGTTTTATTGATTAAGTGTATAAATTTTATTTGCTAAATAATTTTTATGAAGTTCCTATATTAATTCTGTCAATATAAGACCTTTATGGAAAAAAAATGGAATTTTTTATTTATTAATATAAATGGAATAAATACAGAATCAAATCACAGAAAAAATTTTTTACAGGGTATTATGATCAATGCATAAATAACACTTGAAAGGATGTATCTTTTTTTTTATTATAAAAATCTTCATTCATCTTGAAATTGCTAAATTCCATAAATGATCTTAAAATAAAATAAAATTTTACCATTACATTTTTTAATTTTACATTATCCTATTATATAATATCATATGTTAGATAATATCTTTCTATTATAGTTGTGATGATGTACCTTAAATATATCAGATTAAATCCTTGTACTTAAAAGGCGAAGAAATGAGGATAATTCCTTTAATTATGATAACAAATCAGTATGACTAAAAATGGAAAATTAAGTAATATTGTAATTGAGTCTAAAAAGTATAAACAGTTCATAAAATTTAAAGTAAAAAAGTTGTATTGAATTTAATCAATCAAAGTAAAACATTGATGATAAGCATTAACACTTTTATTATCTTATTTCTACTCTAACATTTATTTCTAATAACAAATTATGGTTGAATTTCTTATTTAGTTATACTCTTTAGCTATTTAATTAGAAGCTTTATCTAATATCTTTAATAGTTAATTAAAATAATACAAAAAGAAATTTTTTTGAAAAAGTGTAGTCATGCAAAATTGTAAATCTATGCAAAGGGGTATATTTATTTATTTATTTATTTATTTGATATATCAATTTATTATCTTATATATAATATTACATAAAGATGAAAAATTTAAAAAATATAAACAGTTCACTAAAAAAATGTAATAGTAGTGGTAGTAGAAAATTTAATCCATTATGAATTACTTTTTCACGAATATTAAAAATTTTTTTTTACCTTTTTTTTTTCTTTCTTTTTTTTTGAGAAGATAAAGGACGAAATTAGTGAAATACATTATACCTCTTTTTTTAAGCCTGTAAATATTACAAGCATTTTAGAAATATTTACGTTTCTCAGACATTTTTAATTCTTTATTTTTAATGTGAATGTTTTGTAAGTTTTTTTTTTATTAGTACATTTAAGGATAAAAACCTGAGTATTTATATGAAAATTATATGAAATTTAACATAACGTAAGTTCAATTAATTTGTTATATGTGAGTGTTTCTAGGAAAATCAGGTTCTGAGAAATTTTTGACTAAAATAAAGAACTTAATACATTTTAATCTAATAACATCAAAAACTAAAATGCAATAAAAATCTCAATTTTGCTAAAAAATTTCCGGAACTTGATTTTCCTAGCAATCAACCCATATGATATATTTTTGTGATATAGTAAGCTAAAAAAAATTAAATTATGATTAATATTAAGCATTGAAAACATCAAAAATAACAAAGAACAATTTATACTACTTATTTTATACTACCAAAACATGAAAAAAAAATACTTTATAAATATTTTAAAAATATGAAACCTCTTCTTAAGAATAAAAAGCTATTACAAAGAAGTACTAATAAAGAAATATTATTCTTTTCAAGTTCTCTGTCTAAAGAAATGAAAAATAAAAAGGTATTACTTGTTACAATAGTGTAAATTATTTTAAATTTTTAGGAATCTTGAAAATAAATCAGTTTTCTATTTATATTAAATCATTCTTATCTATTAAAAAAATAAATAAAGATTTTATCATCTGCTTTATAACATTATTCACATATCAGAAACTGAAGTAACAAAGATTGATTCTATACTATCACCAAAATGCTCAGTTAAATAAATTTAGTAGCAAAAATCATAACTAATTATTTGATCTGTTTTATGAATAAAGAATGAAAAAATAACTTAGTGTATTAATATTCTTCAAAAATTTATTAATAATATATTTAATTACTATTAGTGATTCTGATAAAAGATAAAAGCATTATCTCTTGTTACAACTATAGATAATATAGCAGATTTCTGTCTAGAATATGATTATCGAGCCTATCTTTCAAAATTAAAAATAGATTTAGCATTAAAATTTAAATTAAACAATCAGACACAATTATTTATTTTTTTCATTTACACTAATTATTATGATGCTATTCGATGTTATAATTATTTTTACAAAATGCTTAATCTAAATTTTGAACATTTAGGTCTTTCAGAAAATAACAGCGTTAGATTACTTAAGATGATGTAAAATTTTTTTTAATATAATATATTATATTTATTTTCATTTTGTAGTCTATGCTTACTAGATAAGCTGATTCTACTTGATTTTTACAGATCAATTCATCAGACCAATGCTGACATCATTTATTTTAATTATTATTATTATTATTTATAATTTTTATTTACTTTTTTTTAGGCAAGTTTCATTCAATCCAAGCTGCAAAGATATTATTATATTTAAATTATTTTATAAGTAATTTTTCTTTAAGTTGGATGCTTCATTTTCATAGGTAAAGTTATTATTTTCAATTTGTTTTTAAATTTTTTTTATTTCATCTTTAGTATTTTTTATTATTTTTTGGTTGTAACTATCAAATATTTTTCCATTATAATCATGCATATTGTGCTCTAATGAGGATCATTGATAGTATCTTTAGGAATATTAGCTTGCCTTTTGATTTTAATCTGAATTTGCACATTCTAAAGAGGAAGTTTTAATTAAAGTTCTTTAATGAAACACAAATACTATGTTAATGATATGATGTTAGTGCTTCACATCATTTAAATCATTTGAAATAAAAATATCAAAATCCTATTTATTTTGATATTACTCTTCATTTATTTTAGTGATATATAACATAACATTGATGATTATGATTAGTATTATTATTAAAAATATATTTTTATAAGATAAAGGAAATCTATAAATATTAAAGAAATGAATTACTTTTAATTAAATATAAAATTATTATATTAAAAAAACATTTTAATAAATATAAGCTTGCAAATAATATAAAAACATTCTTCATTAAAATCTCAACATTCATAAATATAAATGACACAAAATATTACATTCATATTTGAATGATCTATAACCTTTTTATTAATATTAGAATTATTTAATATCACAATTAGAATTATGAATTATATCCCAACTAGTACTATCATTAATTGAATATATATCAAGTTCTTTTATTTGGCTAATTGCAGCAACTATTATACAGTTATTATTTCTGATTGTTGGACAATAAATATATTTACAAAATGTAAGTTTTGGGTCACATATTTCAAACATAAAATTTTTGTAAGATAGCGTTTATTATTGATACTGCTATATTTTTAAATGTATTTTGTTTAACTAAATTATAAATATCATCATCATTGGCAAGCATTTGATTATAATTCACCCTTGATTAACATAATAATGATTTGTTTGCAGCAAAAAAAATATTATGTAATATATCTTCAAAATGAAATTGAAGATTTTTGTTTGCGGCTGATATATATGATGAAATATCATAATAGATTTGCCGCTGTCATTTAATGATTGATAAACATTGTCCATTTAACTTAGAAGAAAGTAAAAATTCACTATGTTTATCATAAAAATTCCTATATTAACCATTGTATCCATCTTTGCCTATCTGTCAAGTCTATTCAAGCAGCAAGGGTTTGAGTAATATTTGGGTTTTGTGATTCTTCATAGAAACTTGCCTATGCCTTATTGTACTTCTTGGAGTAAATTGGATAAAGCATATCTGAGTCTTAGCTTTTATTTTTTATCAAAATTTTTTTTTTAATTCTAGTGGTTATACTTTTCAATACTAGATTTCTCCAACCTACTGCTGCATTTCTGGCTATTGATCCTTCAGCTGATATTGCTATAACATTATCTGCAGCACTAATTTTGATAGCAAGTTCAAATATTTTGATGGATTTTGCAGTAGCGATCTCACCTACTCTATGTCAGTAACTAAACCTCTGATTAAACCTTTTACAGCTAAAAGAATTATGAAAATGACTATAGGAACTAAATACTTTTTGAGCAAATTTTTTTAGACAGAAACAGCGGTAGTGGTTGCAATACTTTTAGATTATTGGTATTCATTTTGATACTTAATTCATTAAGATATCATGGAATTCTCTTTCAATAATTAAATAGCTTATTTGCCAAATCAATCATGAGATATGTAGCAACACTATAACCTTTATGTTTGTACGAGCTTCCTAAACTGAACTGAAGAGATGTAGTATATATTCCAATTTCACTACCAGTCAAATGATTAATACATTCAGATTTTCTGTTTGATTAATTGGAAAATTAGGTACATCTGGGTGTTTATCTTTATTGCAATAATATGCAAACGAGTTAGAAATACATGATTCAGATCAGGTGTTCCTTTCTTATATGTTAAATAAATAATGCTATCATTGTCAATATAGACTGTCATTCAATTAAAAGGTATGATCTAGTCGTATCTCTTAAAATTATATTCTATATATAAAATGTAATAGAATATATATTAATATTTTTTTATATCTTTTTTTTCCCTT